GTAATCCTTCTATTGTAAGCTTTACATATGGTGAAAGCCACCATATGCTCCCTCCACCTCACCCCCACCCACGCTGTTGGTTGAGATGGGGTCTTGTGATGGGGCCTGCCCAAGCTGGCCTCAAATCATGAACCTCCTGATCTCAAGACTCCAAGTAGCTAGGATTAGCCACTGGCAACCAGCTTGGATTGTCATTTTTTGTTGTTTTGTTTTTAACATTTTTATTAGTATATAATATTGTACAGGGGATTTCGCTGTGACATTTTGTATATGTGTGGACCATATACCCTGGTTTGGTACATCCCCTCCATTATTCTCCCTCTTCCCCCTTGCCCTGGTTTACTGTTTTCAATTGCACAAAGTGACTGTAAGGATTTAAGTGTAAAAAGATTTTTAAATATATAAGAGTTTTCTGTTTTCCATGTTAATTTCTTTGTGCCATTATATCATACTGTTCTTCCCATCCCCCTCTGCTGGGGTTTGAACTCAGGGCCTCAGTTTGCTAGGCAGGCCCTCTACCACTTGAGTTAGCCTTTATCATACTGTTTTCATTGAATTGCTTATTGTGATGGTTAATCTTCATTATCAACCTAATTTGATGGAGAAGCACCTAGGAAAATTACTAAAGTACATCTCTAGGTGTGTCTGAAGGAGTTTCTAGAGTGAGTTACTAGTGGGGGGAGGGAAAGACCCACCCTGAATGAAGGTGTTGTGGGTGGAACCATCCCATTGGCTGGAGGCAGGATGGAGTGAAAGGGGGAAAAGGGGAAAGCCCTGTCTCCCTCTCTCCTTTTTTCCCTCTCTTCCCTTCTCTCTTGTGCTTCCTGGCTGCTATGAAGTGAGGTGCTCAGCTCCATCATGCCATCACTACCATGATGAATTGAAACCATCAGTCAAAATAAATCCATCCTCCCTTAAGTTGTTTTGCTCAGGTAGTTTGTTACTTTGAAAAGTTTGACTAACACGGAAAATTAATACTAGAACTGGAGTCATTGCTATAACTAAACCTGACCGTGTGGGTTTTAAGCCTTTGAAGCTGGTATGTGGAAAGAGTTTAGAAGAGTTTGGAGATGGAGGCTAGAGAAGCCCTAGAAAGCTGTGAGGAGAACTTAGTGGGTGATTCTATTGGAACCAAAATGCCGATGAGAATAAGGACTCTATGGGGAATTGGACAAGAAGCTGTGTGGGTTATGTTCTGGCAAAACCCAAAAAACATGTTTTATCTGTGTCCTGAGAGTCTATGAGGCTGAATTTGAAAATTATTAACTAGTTAATATAGTGGAGGAAATTTCAATGCAGTCTGGCATTCAGGCTGTGGCATGGATTTTATAGGCGGGAGTTACTGTGAAAAACTGTGAGCAAAAAGTGGAGCATAAACTTTATGTTACTCAGAAAGGAAGTTGGGTACAGTTTGGGCCAAGGAAGTGTAACTGCTGAAGAGAATAGGGGCCATTAAAAAGAAGCCAAGTACTTTTCATCTAGACAATAGAAAAAATTCCTTGAAGGCACCTTAGGAATTAGCTAGAACCTACCAGCCACAGCCTGAGGATGTAGAGGTTTTAACTCATTTGAGACAAGACTTTGCTTTGATAAAGGAGCTCCAGGATGTGCAGAGTCCCCTGGAAAGTAATTCCCCTTAGTTCAGCCATCCAGGTACTCAGATGCCACTGCAGCCAAGGCTTAAGGGGGCTGCTGCTTGAGAAGGTGGCAGACCTGGCATTGTCCTTATGATGCTGGCTTTGTAGGCATGTAGAATATAAGAGTTAAGGGATCATAGAGGCTTCCACCTAGATTTCCAAGGAAAGCTTGAGAGGCCAAGCAGTATGTGGCAGGGTCAGGGTCCCTCCCCTGGTACTTACTTACTTATTTATTTAGCACTGGGGTCTGAACTCAGGCCTCACACTTGCTAAGCAGGCAATCCTACCACTTGAGCCACTCCACCAGCCCTATTTTTTTTTTAAATCATCCATATCAGTATATTTTGGTAAGTATTCCTTGTGACTACATATAGTTTACTTCATTCCATTTAAAGAGCCACATAACATTACATTGTATCTGGCATCTATTTAACCTTCAATGTTTTAGAGTTAATGTTAAAGCTTTGTGGGTTTTTGGCAGTACTGGGGTTTGAACTAACAGCCTCATGCTTGCTAGACAGGTGCTGTGCTACTTGAGCCACTCCTCCAGCCCTTTTTTTGTGTTGGGTATTTTTGAGATAGGGTCTCTCAAATTATTTGCCTGGCCTGGCTTCAAACTGTTATTTTCCTGATCGCTGCCTTCTGAGTAGCTTGGAATGAGTCACCATCACCTCTCATTGTTAAAGCTTAAAGGCAGGTAATATCTGTGTAGTTGGAAGTAGTATGTGACATATAAAAATAATTTTACAAGTAATTACTAGATTGATAAAATATAAATTTCAGTTTGCTATGTTTTTAAGTTAGGTTAATACCCATACCATTTGCCTTAGTTTATACTGCTATAACTAAATACCATGGACTAGATAATTTATAAGTGATAGAATTTTATTTCTCATTGTTTCTAATCATGGAGAAGCTGGAGGCTGGTAAATCCAAGATTGAGGGATAAGTAGAATTGATGTCTGAAAGGTTTACTCTCTGACTCCCAGATGGCTCCTTGTTGTAGCATCTTCCAGAGAGGAGGAGCACTGTTTCCACACACTCTGTAAGGGACACTAGGGCAAGAGAGCTTCCTTCAACCTTGAGCCCTTGTATTAGGATACTGTTCTCTTTCATGAGGGTGGACCCCTGATGACATAATTACCTCCCAAAGGTTGCACCCTTCATACAGTTGCACTGGGGATTATTTTTCAATGTGACTTTTGGAGGGTGCACCACTCATACTTTGATTGTGAGAATATGATTTGGCACATTTTTGAATGGTAACTTCTTGGCACCAATCAAAATTTTAGATCCAACTGCTTCTAGATATGTAATCATTTAGAAATTCTGCTTCTAGGCATTTACCATGCTAAAACACTTTCAAATGTGTAAAAAGATACTTATCATAGCATTTTATAATAGTGAAAAATTATAAACAACTTAAATGTTCATATAATGTCATAAGTATTTTTTACTTGGACCATGTATCTTTCTCTTACTAGTGATCTTTTTAATCATGTCAAAATTTTTAATTTTTACCTAGTCTTTCTGGTCTTTATGTGCTCCAGATTTTATATTTTTCATTAGGAAAATTTATAGTACTCTAGGATTATAGAAACGTTTTTCCTTTATTTTCTTCTAGTACTTTTATTGTTGTCTTAGTTGTTTATTTTAGATATATAATCCACCTTGAGTATAATTTTGTATATGTCTTAATGTTGGGATATTAATTGTAATTGCATGGATTGTGTTGATAAGTTTGGAGAGAATTTAAATATATGTTACTGTGTCTCCACACCTAGGAGCTTGACATGTACTTCCTTTGTGTCCTTTCATGTCTTCATAAATTTCTTCCAGTTAAGTTCATTTTAGATGTTTCTTCGTATTAAAGAAATGGGTTAAGTATTCCCTGAGTTTTTGATGTGCTATCTTGATGTGGCCATGAAATATATTGCTTATTTAATAGTCAAGTTTGTTACTAAGTAAATTGTTTTCTTTTTTTTAAAAGCCCAGCATCCCATCTACACTTTTCAATAAAGCATCCACATACTCTGTCCTGGGAATACTACACCATGTTTCAGTGTAAAGCTCATCTTGTGATGAGATTGATTGAAAATAGGATCAGCATGGAATTCATGTTACAAGTAAGTACTAAAGTTGAGAACTTAGTGGTGGTAAAGAAAGCGTAATCTGAATACTATTCTATAGAATAGGAGTCTGCAGTTACAGTTTTGTTTGGCTGCTAAGTGACTTATGCTTTTATTTGCACTTCCTCAGGTATACAGCATGTATTCGTACTTTGCCCAGTTAGCAAATGATTATCATGGAGATAGAATTAGAATGTGAGCAAGCAAACAAGACTTACTTATTCATATGATTTTGTGTTCTGCAATATTTAGATTAAGGATGAAGTTCTATTTTGAAATGTTTGTAATAGAAAAATATTAAGCCAATCTAAAAGATGTTTATTTTTGCTAGTGCTAAATTTTGCCACATTTGTAGCAAGTTTTGGTTTAAGAAGTTACAATATTGGAGATGATATAGTAGCAATCAGGTAAGTGCATTATAAACCTTCAGCTACTTTCCCTGTGATAGTGCTCTTAGATGCAGGCAGGTAAAGAAATAGCTAACTGAATTCTTTTAAAAAACATTTTTGCTGGAGATGTACTTCAGTGATAATGTTTGCAAGCATTTCAAGTTTGCCCTAAAGCTAAGTTTGTTTAGTCCTCTGTCCTTCACCTCACCTTTAGATTGGAAAACAGAAATATTAAGTTGGGAAGATGGTCCATAAGAAAGTCACTCTTCTTTTTAGCACGGTATCAATCCTAATGAGTATTCTTATTTATACATTTATTTATAGGGCTCATGATTGAACCCAGGGCCCCATATGTGGTAGGCAAGCGCTCTACCACTGAGATACAGTGCTTTGCTGCCCTTTCTTTGTTGTTTTTTGGTGGTACCAGGGTTTGAACTCAGGGCCTCACACTTGATAAGCACACACCCTATCACTTGATCCACTCTGCTATCCCTTTTTTTTGTTGGGTATTTTTGAGATACAGTCTCAAGAATTATTTGCACAGGCTAGCTTCAAATCAGGATTCTCCTGTTCTCTGCCTCCTGAATAACTAGGATTGTAGGCGTGAGCCACCAGTGCTTGTCTCCCCTTTCTTTTAAGTAGGAAAAAAGAAAACATAAGATTTAATATATTTCTAAGTCATGAGCTTATCATGCTCCTAATGAGTATTCTTAACTTTTTAATATTCAGTTTCTATGTAAAACAGCATAAGCAGTTATAGGTGTTAACATATTGTTCTTTTTTTCTTTTTAATGGTTTTATTAGAATATGATAGTTATACAGGAGATTTCATTGTGACACTTCTATATATACATGTATTATACTGCTATTTGTTCATCCCCTCTATTATTCTCCCTTCTGTAACTTCAACAGGTTTCAGTGTTCGATTTTCATATGCATGTAGAGAGTACATCCACCATACTCATATCATCTTCATTTACCCTCTCCCTCTCACTATATCTCCTCTTTAACATGACCTGTTTTACATTTCTGTTCTTCCTTCTTTAAGTGTCCGCTCATTATTCAGTGGGAATTTTGCCTTGATATTTTACCTATAAATATATTGTGCTTAAATCATTCTGACCTGTGCACTGCTCTTCCCCCTTCTCCTCCTGTTCTTTGTTGTTCAGTTTTCAGTGTGTTTCATTGTGACGTGTCCTCACACAGCTGTGATATATTTCATGAATACTCTATTATTCTTTTCTTCTTTTCCTCCTTTGTTAGTCTTCTCTAACAGACCCCCTTTTGGAAACATATTCTCTATATATTTGTATGTATATATGATTATGCTTGTATTTGTACTGGATCTATATTCCACATATGAGAGAAAAAAGTGACCTTTGTCTTTCTAAACCTGGCTAACTTAAGATGATCTCTAGTTCCATACATTTACCTGTGAACAACAAAATTTCATTAATCTTTATGGCTAAGTAAAATTGCATTGTATATAAATAACACATTTTCTTATTAATCCATTCATCAGTTGTAGGGCATCTTGGCTGTTTCCATAACTTGGCTATTGTGAGTAATGCTGCATAGGTATGCAGGTGTCTTTACTGTGTCCTGACTTACATTCCTTTGGATATATACCTAGAAGTGGTATTGCTGGATCATATGGCAAGTTCTCCTTTTAGTTTTTTGAGGCACCTCCATACTGTTTTCCATAGTGGTTATACTAATTTACATTCCCACCAACAGTATATGAGGGTTCCTTTTTCACACAACCTCACCAACATTTGTTATTGTTTGTTTCTGTTCTTGACGATAGCCATTCTGACAGTAGTGAGATGGCATCATTTCGTTTATGGCCAGGGATGTTGAACATTTCTTCATGTGTTTTTTTTTGCCATTTGTACTTCTTTCTTTGAAAAAGCTCTGTTCAGTGCATTTGCCCATTTCTTCACTGGGTCATTGATTCTTTGGAATTTTAGTTTTTTGAACTCCCTGTAAATACTGGTTATTAATCCTTTGTTAGATGTATAACTGACAAAGATTTTCTCCCATTCTGTGTGCTGCTTCTTCAGTCTGGTGATCATTGTCTTTGCTGTACAGAAGCTTTTCAGTCTCATGTAGTCCCATTTGTCCTTTCTCTTAGTTGTTGAGCCCTTGGAGTTGTATTTAGGAAGTTACTGCCAATACCTACATGTTCCAGTGTATTCCCTGCTCTTTGCTGCACTGGTTTTAAAGTTTCAAGCCTTCTAGTAAGGTCTTTGATCCACTGTTCTTTTTTTCTTGATGAATACAGTATTCTTTGCCCAATACATCATCAACATTTCATAATGTTTGTAGGAAGAATGAATGCTCTTATATTCTGACTGTTTATAAATGTTTAGAAGTTTCTGTCAATTAGTCTTTAACTAGAACAATCTATGTATAATAAGTTGTAAAATTGTTACTTTTGTAACTGACTGTGATAAAGTAATAGTGCAAAGTGGGTGTAATACACAAATTGAAAACAATATACTATGTGATTAAATGACACTTTAATCTTTACAGGTTTTCAATAAGTTGCTAAGTCTGGCTAGTACTGCTTCATCTCAGAAGTTCCAGTCACATATGTGGAGTCAGATGTTGGTTTCCACATCTGGATTTTTGAAATCCATTTCAAATGTTTCTGGCAAAGACATTCAGCCTTTAATAAAGCAATGGGTGTATCCTTTTCAATAACAGTCCAGCAAGGTGGGGAAGGGCTGTGTGTAAGAGAAAAGTGGAAGAAGAGAGATTGGAGGTCTAAATGGAGTATGAGCTATTGGTAGTTCTTAAAAAATAGCAGAAATAACTGAACAATGAGTCATTGCTCCAAAGCTCCTACTAATCTTTGAAATACATATACATACACACATATTTATATTTGTAAACTTTGGCATATTTTGAAGTACTTTTTAATATGTGATTAAAGAGGTAGGTTTGATGTTAGGTGAGGTAAATAACCCTCCAGACAGGCTTTGTGGCACTACTTACAGATGAAATGGTCTAGTGACTTTCAGATGTGGTTAGAGGTTGGTACAACTTAGTGGTATCTTGGAATTTTGCAATTTTTGCATTTTTTATTTCAAAACACTATTATATTAATCCAGTAAAGTGGTTTTACGTCTTCCAAAACACAATTTTCTCAATGTCTCAGAATTTTTTTCTAAATCTGGGGAAACAATTTTTACAAGTCTTTTGAATACTTTGCCACCTGGAATATAATAAAGCTTGCTTTGGGACTTTGATCTTGTGGGAATATATTTGAAAATTCTTAATACCATAACAAACAACATTTTTTTAGTATATACTCATTTTAGTATGTAAAATTTCCTTTACAATTCTTCAGAGACCAGAGTGGAGTGGTAAAATTTTATGGAAGTTTTGCATTTAATAGAAAACGAAATGTCTTAGAACTGGAAATAAAACAAGATTATACATCTCCTGGAACTCAGAAATATGTGGTAAGTGTTGTTTCCAACAGGGCCTTTTACACCATCGTTTCTACAGTTTTAGTATTGGAAGGGCTTAAGGTGATTAGAAGCTTTATAATGTGATGTGTTTGTAGAGAATAAATTGAGAAAATAACATGTACCAATGAAAAGAACAGGAGATGCACATGGATTTTAAGGGACTCATATTGTCCCAGTTCCCCCTTCTTGGTTACCAGTTGCCTTTCTATGTATGTAGATACTAGTTTGCTGTATTATTATTTTATGTATTGATATATATGTATATATCTGAATGTGCAAATGTACATGTTGGTATTTTTCTAGCAGTGTCTTTGAAAAAAAATTTTTTTTTTTAAAGGGACCACTTAAAGTTACAGTGCAGGAGTTAGATGGATCTTTCAATCATACATTGCAAATTGAAGAAAATAGCCTCAAACATGATATACCCTGCCATTCCAAAAGCAGAAGGTAGGCATTTGAATCATAACTATAAACTGGAGCTTAAACTTCAAATCCCACAGATTAAAAGTGCCAAAATAAAAATCCTGTTGTATACCAAATTTTTTAGGTAAAAAACATGTTATCTAGTATCTTTTTCTTCCTATTTTACTTCAAGTTAGCAATACCAAATGTATTTTGCTTGCTTTCTAGTCTTGATGACGTTTTAGTTTTAGAATTAAATGACTAATTTTTAAAATTTAGGTTTGAGGTCCTTGTTTTGTGAGGAGAAAGGAGCAGTTGAGAGAGCAAAACAGAAGTTTCAGTCTTTGGAGATAGGAAAAATTCAAGACAAATAGCTTAGGCTCATTTTTGTTATGTTAGTATCTACAAGAAATACTGGAATAATGATAATTTCAGGCAAAGAACTAAATATGTTATTAAAATATTAAAAGTTCTTGTGCTAGTAGAATGGCTCAAGTAGTAGAGCGCCTGCCTAACAAACTTGAGGCCAAGTTGAACCCCCGTACCACACACACACAGAACAGAAAAAGCACTTGCATCTTGTTTACTCTCTTTGCTTTTACTAAATGCTACCCTGCCCTTCCAGAACATTTTTTTTTTTAAGAAATTTTGTTTTATTGTCCATAGGTAGCCCTTGTGTTTACAAGCCATTTATGCATTGCATAATTCTTGGAAAAATACTCATTTTATACCACTCTAAATATAATACTTTGAATTCAGTAGGAATATTTCTGATTCCAACTCATAAAATATGCCTCTCACTTGCTGGAATATTCCTGACTCAGATTCATAAAGTACATCTCTTTCTTGTTTTTTGTTTTTGTTTTTATTTTTTAATTTAAATTGATTATTTAAATTGATACATGAAAACAAATTATAAACATTAATGGATTACCATATGATTTGATGTATAGTGTAATATTTAAATCAGATTTAAAAACATCCTCAAACATCAGCCATTTCTTTATAATGAAAACATTTTATTTCCTGGCTTTTTAAAATAAATAGCACAGAATTGTTATCTCAGTCACTCTATTGTGTAATAGCATCCAGAACTACTTAGTCCTCTTTATAATTTAGTACCCATTCATCAACCTTTTCCCATCTCCCAGCCTCCATTAACACCATTGTATTCTCAATATGAAGATCAGTATTTTTATATTCCACATAAACGTGAGATCATGAGGTACTTGTTTTCTGGAACATGGAACATGATTTATTTCATTTAATACAGTGATCCCCAGTCCTATCTGGTGGTAGTGAAAATGACAGGATTTCATTCTTTTTTATAGTTGAAGAGTACACACATTATGTGTGTGTACTACATTCTCTTTACCCATTCATCAGTTACAGGTTGTTTCCTTTTCTTGACTATTGTAAATAGTGCTACTGTAAACATGGGAATTCAGATGTCTTTTTAACATACTGATTTCCTTTTCTTTGGATATATACCCAGTAGTAGAATTGCTGGATCCTACGGTAGTTCTAGTTTTAGTTTCTTTGTGGAACCCTCCTTTTCCGTAATTATTGTTATAATTTACATCCTCATTAATATTGTGCAAGGTTTCCCTTTTTTCACATCCTTGCTAGCACTTACCTTTTGATTTTCTGATCATAGCTATTTAACTCAATTAAAAATAAATAATAGATGTAAATAGACATTTCTCCAAAGAAGACATGCCAGTGGCAAAAATATGTGTGAAAAAACGTTCAACATCACCAATTATTAGGACAATCCAAATAAAAACCATAGTGAGATACCACCTCACCACAGAACATTTCTGATATCTTGCAAAGGCAAATTGCCTCTTCACTGAAAAAATATCCAAGTTGGACATGGAGGCTGAGGCAGAAGGATCATGGGTTCAAAGTCAGCCTAGGCTGCACAGTGAGACCCTGTCTCAAAAAAAAAAAAAAAAAAAACAGGAGGGATGTCTTAACAGCTTACCATTTATTAACATATTTTTCCTTTATTATTTTTCAACTCAGTGCTTAACATTTACTCTGGACAGTGAAAGACAAGAACATTTCTGTGCTCTACTGGGGGAATGTGTAGTAATGGCAACATTTCAGGAGCAAAAGCCTTAAATTGATTACTATGCTTAGATGAGAATGTTGATTTTGAAGGCCAGAACTTGATTCTGAAAGCTTTCTGTAGTCATTCTTACTGAGAGAAAATTCTTTCTTAATTCAGAGTGAAATCCCATTTCTTTTTGTCCTGTCCACCTTGGAAAGTTGGAATGTCTGATTGCTACACTTTTCACATTTCCTTGGGTTTTTTTCCCCCCTGTAATAACAGTGGGCCATTTGAGTATTCTTTGGTGTGAGGAACACAGAAAGACTTGGTTTTCTGTTCCATTCCTATTCATCTTTCTCCAAATTTTAACATGCCATCCAATAGTTTTTATGATACAGGAGTAGTTTACATGGTGACAGTTCCTTTTACTTTGCTCATCTTAAGTTTCCTTGTGTATTAACTAGTTCTACATGTCAGTTATTACTGATAAGTTGTTTTATTAGTTAATCACCTTATTTTACATGGGACCCAGCCTTGCACATGCAGAACAGTTTGATCTGGAATATTTACAATTCATTTAGTCTGGTTATTATTTCATTTGTTACAAAGGATTTCTTTTATTTTTATCTTTGTAAAATTGCACCTACCAGTTCTTAGGAATGTACATGCTTTAAGTTGACATTTGATTATATATATATATATCTGTTTTTGTTAAACTTTGATTCAGGAAAAGATTTCAATGTTTTCTTCATTTCCTCTAGCTTCAAAATAAATAGATTTTGTTGATTTTAAATTCCATTGCATTTTATACATGGTATATATTTACTGTTGTGTGAGATCCTTTGTTTGAACTTTAGCAGGTCTTTATCTCCATTCGGATTTTGAATTCTTCCAATTTTCAAACTTACTTTTCCTTAAATGTAGGAATAAGAAAAAAAAAATTCCGCTGATGAATGGAGAAGAAGTTGACATGGATCTTTCTGCAATGGAGTAAGTAACTTAAAAGTACGTTAATTATCCTTGAAGTAACTGCTTTTAAAACTTTTTTATTTATTTACTTACCTATTCTGGGAACAGAGTCTTGTTTTGTAACCTCAGTTGGCCTTGCACTTGTGATCCTCATGCCTCAACTTCCCAAGTGCTGGGATTACAGGCAAACACCGTATGGCTCTAACACTATACAAACTATGCAGAAACAAATTTTAAATAAAATCTTAATTCATTAAAGATACAAAAGTTTATCTGGTATGGATGAGGCAAAGCTAAGTGAATATGCAATTTTGTTATGGGAATGGGCACATCCTCAAATAGGCAACTTTCTTGCACTCTCTTGGTGGCTTCTTGAGCAGTGCTTCTCAAACTGTGATGTGCATGTGAATCATTGGGGATCTTAAAATGCAGTTTCTGATTCAGTACTTCAGTTGCGGGGCCTGGTAGTTTATAGTTCCAGTGACTTTCAGGTGCTATAGATCAGGTTATATGGATTGTCTTTGGAACAAAGCTCCAAGACATGTATTTGCAGAACACAACTTAAAAATTATTCTAGCGGGGCATGACTGAAGTGGAAGAACACCTGTCTGGCAAGCACGAATCCCTGAGTTCAAGCCCCAGAACCACCAGAAAAAAAAAAAATCACTGTTCTGAATTTTATGTGGTGTTGCTTATTGATAGTGCTCCATTTTTAAATACAGTATGGTATAATGTTTGTCATTTTGCCTGTCCATCCTCTGCCTGTGTATTTTTTTATAAAACATCTGTAATTGTTTACTAATTTGAGTGACGAATTATTACTACAGTTTATGTGCAGATTTTGTCCACTTGTCCGTCAAGTTCAGTGTGTGAATGTAAATTTTTACATAGCAAGTAGCTTATCTGTAGTACCCACCCAATATTTGTTGAATTGAATTAATACTACAAGTGGTGGTCTTTTGATGAAAAGGCTGACTTTTAAGCTGTACTTGTTACTTGAAAAGTACATGAAGATAAACTCATGCTATGCCTTCGAAATATGATTTCAGAGCCAGGCACAGTAATCCTAGCTGTAATCCTGTACCTGTAATCCTAGCTACTCCTAAGGCAGAGATCAGAGAATTTTGGTTCCAGGCCAGCCTGGGCAAAAAGTTCACAAGTCCCCATCTCAATCCATAAGAGCCGGGCGTGGGTGTTGTGCACCTCTCATCCGAGTTACATGGAAAACATAAATAGGATTTCAGTCCAGGCCAGCCTGGGCATAAATGGGAGAAAATAACTAATGCAAAAAAAGAGGGTGTGAGGTGTGGCACAAGTGGTGGAGTGTCTGACTGACAAGCAGGCATGAGGCCCTGAGTTTAAATCCCAGTAATATACATACATACAAACAGAAAATATGATTTTCAGAACTCCCTGTTTGCAAAAGGTAATCTTGAGGCTAGCATTTTTTAAAAAGCTATATTTGATTTATTTAATAAGTTAAATTTATTTTAATTAAATTAATTTAGTAAAATAAGTGCATTGATTTATTAGTCAAATTGATTTCTGTAAAGGTTACTATTTATAGCCATGTCAATTATTATTCTTTCAGAGGTTAGATGATGAAATTTGATATCAGTGTCCTGTCTCTCATCATGTAATCACAAATAAAAATGCTGAAAATAATATTTTGATAGAAAATGGGGAATTTAAATCCTATATGACAACTCATTTTATCCTGGAAGATCTATTCAGCAAGATTGAAACATTGTGAAAGAATTACTTATAATAAACATAATGAAGAATTTCTCTGCACAGTTAAAAAATGAATACAGTGAATCTCTACAGGCTTCAGTAGTACATTTAAAGGAGTATGTGGTTATTAAACTGCTTTTAAAATTTTTTTTTGGTGGGACTGAGGTTTGAATTCAAGGCTTTATGCTTGCAAAGCAGGCATAGGATCACTGGAGCCACACCTCCAGTCCGTTTCACTCTAGTTATTTTGGAGATGGGAGGCAGATGAACTGTTTTCCTGGGCTGAACATGAACCCAATCTTCCCAATCTCAGCCTCTCAAGTAGCTATGATTACAGGTGTGAGTCACAAGTGTCTGGCTTATTGACTGCTTTGTTTTTATATTCTAAAAGAGATTGATGTTTTAAAAAATAAAGTTTAAAAATTGTGTTTTCTTTCAGTGCTGATTCCCCTTTGCTGTGGATAAGAATAGATCCAGATATGTCGGTACTGAGGAAGGTAGAGTTTGAGCAGTCTGACTTTATGTGGCAGTATCAGCTCCGCTATGAAAGGGATGTTGTTGCACAGCAGGAATCCATCTTGGCCTTGGAAAAGTTCCCGACCCCAGCATCTCGGCTTGCACTCACCGACATCCTGGAACAGGAGCAGTGCTTCTACCGCGTGAGGATGGCTGCTTGCTTCTGCCTTGCAAAGGTGAGGTTATACAGCAGAGCAAAAGTGGGAAGATTTGTGTATTTTACAAGTAGTCTCTGAAAATGAGTTAACTACTTCTTTGAAAGCTTTTGCCATACTTTTAATGGGACTGCTTTGAAAGAAACAAGTAATGACCGAAAAATAAGATATGCACACAATTTTATCATTGCCAAACAAAAACTGAAAACAGAATTTTCAGTTTATGTTTAATTACCAAACATATTTTTTAGAGCAAAGAACATTTGGTAAGAAATTCTGTGGTTTGAGCAATTTTTTTTTAAAATCGTACATGAAATCAGTTAATTTTAATTATCCCATTATGGCAACTATTTCACATTGATTTGACTTTAGGAATAAACATTAGTGATTAAATAATTTACAGTGATTGGCTATATAGCTTAGCAGTCAGAAAAATTACTTTATGAGAAAACTAAATATCTTTCTTTAGACACAAAAAAATCTGAAGGTAGAAAATATGAAAACCAGAAAAATGCAGATAGAAATTTGCCCAGAAATACTGGTTACCAGGTACTTAAAAGCATCTTGATAATAAATTTATCTATTTCAGCAGATTATAATGGTTTAGATTTGCTTTGTGTTTAATGATAACACGTCAGTAGTTGAATTTCTATCTTCTCAGATATTAGAGGGAAAAATGATTATTTGCTAAGGATATAATTTCATTGGTGCTCTAAAAATCTTGTGATTCTTGCATGCTAAAATATTAGCAGAGCCATAAAATTACAGAATGTATTATTTAAAGTGAATCATAATTTAGTTTTTTTCAGATGTAATTTTTATATTTTGTAAAATTACCAATACCGGGATGTGGGTTTGTTTGTTTTTTTTTTTAAATAATGCATACTTTTCTCTCCCCCGCCCACCACCCGCCCCAGATTGAGGCAGGGTGTAGGTATGAGGCCTGACTGGCCTCAGATTCACTGTGTAGCCAAAGGTAGCTTTGAACTCACAATCCTTGTCCCTCTTTCAGCCTTCTGTGAGCTAGGATTACAGGCATGGACCATCATGCTTGGCTGTATAAAGCATTCTTAAAGATTTTTAAATGGTACACTGTATTTGACTTGGTTTTCACTTGGGTGGATTAAAAAATCTTATTTAAAATTATGTTGTTTCTATCTGACAAATTAAAAATTTTAGTCACGTTTGCCTAAATGAATAGAGACAAACCTGTTTAGAGGAGAAACCTTTTGAAAACATTTTTTACTTAAAACATAAATGAATACTGCAATTTAAAAATTAACTTGTGTACAATAACTAAGTGCACATAGAATATTTTTGGAGGGTGAGTTCATTTTCTTGGAAGTGGGTGATAGAAGACCAAATTTTATTAATTTATAAAAACTGTAATGCTGGCTTTTAAAAAAGCTATTTTATTTAATAATATATTTGCAGTGGTGATGGAAAATACTTCATTTTCTAATTATTTGCAGATTGCAAATTCAATGGTGAGCACGTGGACAGGACCACCAGCCATGAAATCTCTCTTTACTAGGATGTTTTGTTGTAAAACTTGTCCAAACATTGTGAAAACAAACAACTTTATGAGCTTTCAAAGTTATTTTCTACAGAAGGTACAGTTTACTTTCTAATGTTCTTACGATCTTTTCAAGTAGGCCTTTTTAAAAGCTTTTCTTCCAAAACATTGATTGTTCATTGCTTTTATGAACTTTGTACAAGTAATTAATTGTTCATATTAATAATAAAGTGAATTAAAAATGGATAGTTTTCTTTCTTTTTTTTATTTCTTTTTATAAGTATTGGTTTTTGAACTCAGGGCCTCAGCTTCACTAGGCTAGCACTCTTATCACTTGAGCCGCACACCCAGCCCTTTTTGTTTTACTTGTTTTTCCAAATAGGGTCTCACATTTTTGCCTGGGCTGGCCTAGACAGTGATCATCCAATTTATACTTCCCGCATAGCTGGAATGACAGGCAGACACTATCACACCCAGCTTTGTTTGTTGAGATTGGGGTCTCTTTAGCTTTTTGCCCAGGCTGGCCCAGCACTGCTGTCCTCTAGATCTCTGCCTCCCAAGTAGAGGGATTATAGATGTGAACCACCACACTAGCATGATTTCCTTTTTCAGTAGTGTATATGGGGAATGGCGATATGGTTACATAAGCCCTTCTCCTGCCACACCTATTAAAGGTTTGTTAGGCAAGTTGAATTTAGTATGATAGAAAGAAAAGTGAAAGGATTGCCTAGCAGAAGTGGAGTGCCTGTTGAGAACGGCAGTGGTGATATACTTATAGCAAATTTCACTAGCAGAACAGATTTAGGGTGGTCTAGATGTGGGGAAAGGCAATAATGGTCTGATAAAAGAAATCTGTGACATCCTGTTAATAAGAACTGACTGAAATGTATTCTCCATCTCTTGCCATTGTACTAATTTGTAGTATGAAAACAAGTAAATTTCTGTGCCTAGAATGTTCTCTTCATTCTGTCATCATGCTTCCATGTACCTTAGGTCAGAGTTTCAAATTAGTGTTGTGAGCAATTATGAAAGGTCATGATATTAGTTTAGATACTTCATTTTAATTTTTTTGACAGTACTGGGGATTGAACCCAGGGCCTCAAGCATATTAGATAAGTACTCTACTACCTGAGCTACCTCTTCCCAAGCTCTGTTGTTTTTTTAAAAAAAAAAAAATTAATAAAACCGAATATGCAGTATCAGAAAGCTTCATGTTTGCTGAGGATAATTATAAAGCTTTTGTTTTATTTTGTAGTTTGTATACATTGCTTCTAAACATGTGTATTAGGTTGTGTTAGAAAATGTATTTCTGTGGTTTGAGGTAAAAACATGTAAAGCTAATGCTTTTAGACCAGTTCACCTTTCATATAATACTTGTAGGCAGAAAAGAGAGAAGATTGGTACCACATCAAGCTTGAGTTACAGAAGAGCAGAATAGGCATAGGATAGCTACTTCTACAAAAAATGAGCTTTTCCTTATTTTTCTTATAGAATTAATGTTGACTATTATTGCTTCCATTCATTGCCTCTACTCCTTTAAGAAAGAAAATGGGCCATCTCCTTTCTGACCGTCCACTTTATAGGAAATAGTCTAGATTTCTCCATGTTCTAAGGATTAAGATGTCTATGCATGCATTTATCCTTCTGCCTAGGATTAATTAGCATTTTTTTTTCTTTTGGTGAGACTGAGGTTTGAAGTGAGGGCTTCATGCTTACAAAGCAGGCACTCTGCCACTTGGACCACACCACACCCCTCCAGTTAATTTTGCTTTAGTTATCTTGAAGATGAGGTCTCAGGAACTGTTTACCCTGGCTGGCCTTGAACATTGATCCTCCCAATCTCATCCTCCCAAGTAGCTAGGATTACAGACATGAGCCACCAGTGCCCAGTTAAAGCTTTGGTTTAATGCTAAAATTTTCCAGTGTGTGTGGATCATGTTTCTACTTCCATAGAAAAATTTGCTTTGAATATTTAGAAGGTGAAAGGCTGTGTTTCAGACAATTTACCATTTTTTCCCTTAGTCTGGGGATTGGGTGTTACTGGAGAATCAGTGTGTTCAAAGATTAATGATTGATCTCTACTATATGGTGTATTATTCCAACCACTGTTATCATTTAGCCCAAAAATGGTTGTGAGGAAGAAGTCTCCTACTCAGAAAGCAACTAGCCAAAGACATTCAGCCTACTACATAGTAGATTTAAAATATGAACTGTCTAATGCCAGAAATTCATACCTGTTCTATGGTATCACTGAGAACTGAATTTCTATAACTTACATCACATGTACTTTCTTCCAGCAAATAAGGACCAAGGCATATGGCCTAAAAAATACCTCCAGTCAAGCAACCTCTTCTTGAGGTTTTTACCCCACTTTTTGTTCTCAGTGGGAGCATGTGAAAGATAAGGGTTAGGTTCCATCTAGATACCCAAAACCCCAGAGTAATTCTTTTCTGTATAGTTAAAACAATTGTAGTAATGAATAAGTTGGTTTATATGCTTAAAAACAATTCTCTTTTTTTTGTAGACTATGCCAGTTGCAATGGCGTTGTTAAGAGATGTTCATAATCTTTGTCCCAAAGAAGTCTTAACATTTATTTTGGACTTAATCAAGTACAATGACAATAGAAAGAATAAGGTAAGATACTTTTTTTAATGAACCTTACAAAATTCTTTTTAATGAGCCTTATAAAATTTGTTTTAAAGAAATATATAGAGACCTCAAATACCCCACACTGTAAAATAGTCTGTAAAATCATTGTCGAACTTATGGCACTTTTCTAGAGTTATAGATATAGAAACCTGATTTATTTTAATAACTGGTAGATGGAAGCTAAGATTAATTAGTTTTTAAATGTTCCTCAAACCTCTGTAGTGTGGAGATGGTAACTCATCAGATGTGCAGACAGCTGAAACTTGATTTCCTGAAGTCTTACAGTACCAGCT